CATGGTCAGCAGGACAATCTGAATCTTTTGACCTGCCTGTTATATTTTCGAAGAACTTTAATTTTCGAGAATTACTCGTATTATAATAATAATAATATAATAAAGACGCTTGTTGTTGCCGAGAAGAATATGGCTCGATATCACATAAGGACAGGATAATTTCTGTGCCAATCGACCTGTCGATAATACGATTCTTATACCGCGCCGGCTAGTATAAAGGGGGATGAATCGAACACATGTATAATATATATTCCATTTTGCATATTAATTAAGTCGCAACGTCGGTCTCTCTCTGTATGTGTGCGTCTGTATCGAAGCCGCGCCATCGTTCCCATTTCTCATCCGAGCTACCCAACAATACACGTATACACATCAGTTGGCACCTACCACTTAAGCAATTTTTCACGACGATGTATGTGCCGGGACCGACGATTATTCAAAATATTCCCGAACCCGCCACCCCGGTTTCCTAAACCCTCTTCTCCGCTTCTTCAACTTTAAAATCGAGTTCGAGATAACGCTTTATTCCAAGTATTTTAAATGGCGAGTGAGATTCGCGACTCGTACGTTTAATTAAGAAAAATGTAAATACTCTTGAGTCTCTTCGAATATTAGATACGCATTTCGAGCTTCTTTCGCTTCCTCTTCTTATCACGGATTAAATGTTTTTTCGTATTCGTTGACTGGGCAGTGAAAACAATAAATAAAAATGTTTTTAGCTGAATGAATATATTTAATTATACGCGATTGCGCATATCTGTTTACAAAACATTTGAAATACGTGTATCGAAGAAAAACAAATAGATACCAATTATGAAATAGTGATGTTGCTGGCAATATTCAATAATAAAACCACGTACAAAATTTCCAACTTTATATATTCTATAAAAGCATTCAATTTCATTCGGAAACGAGATTACTGAATTCTTTTTAAAATAATATTACAATTTCCAAAAATAGAATTATTATCGTTCCAAATATACGTCAAATGATAAGAAATAATTATTTCCATAACAATTATTTGACGCAATTTGACGTAGGAACGAGTATTTAGAAGAAACGAAATCGACTACTATTGTTTTCGTTAAAAAAGGAAAAAGAGAAAATATAATGCGACGTCAAAAAAATGTTATATTATACTTTCGACTATCGATCGTACCTGTGCTCGTACCAGGTAATATTCATAAATCGTCGACGAAAGCGCGGCTGCTGATGGCCGAAGCCGTCGTTTTTTTTTCCTCGCTTCTAAACCACAGCAGCCGCAGAAGAAAATCCGCTCGGACCGCCGCAAAAACCGCGCGATGCAAACGGTCTGGAGAGCCCACGTTCCCACACCCACGCGGCCACGAGAGCTCTCCAAAGGTATACCCATCGCTTCTCCGCGTTTCGAGTTCGTAATCGCAATAAACGTAACGAGTCGAAGAAGGATCGATTTCAATATCGCTCACCTCTAATCTTATTTATTCGTAATAAATGATAAATGACGTTTTCTTCGTTCTATCTTCTTCTTCTTCTTGAGAGTTTCTCTCAATTCTCAACTCTCTTCTATTTTCTTCTCCTTCGTCATCTTCCTTGCTTCGTTATTTTTATCGCCATCCTCGTCCTCTTCGCCACCATCATCACCTTGTTAATCGGCTTCCTCGGCCTTCCTCCCCCCCTCATCCTCCTTATCTCCGCCTTTATCGGTTGTCTCCATCGTCATTGACACGCGTGCATGACGACCAACCACGGGCGTCACGTCACGCGATGTCAATTGTAAATCCACCCGTCTCGTGGAAAATTACCGATCGCGGGAGGAGACGGTGAGCAAGTTTACTAGATCCGCGAGTACACGTGTCTCTCCATACCTACGAAAGGATAAATAATGCACATATCATATATCCATTCAATATCCGTTTAAATCCGACTGTTCCATTCTTCCAACGATTCTTTCTCCCTCGTCTTAAAATTATATATCGATCGTTATTATTTATCATTGTATTAACCATTTTAATATATCGAAACATTTGCGATGTATATTACGTTATCAACGTTTCTATTACGTAATCCTTCTAATCCTATCCCCTCGATCGAAAACGAATCCTATGATCCGCGAATAGATCCGCGTTGCGAACACTCGGTATGTAATAATCTCTGTGGAATAATTCTCGAATACGTGTACGCTAGAGAGATTCTATAATTTAACGAAACGAATCCTGGATACCATTCACGTCAATCAAGCCTCCATCACCGGGAGGTGTCTTTGGAAAATTCTCCCGAAACGATCGCGGTCGCCGAGGCTGGCGATAATAACATCGGCAGGGCGGCTAGCTACGTCAGCTGGGGATGTATATTTTCATAATGTAATATCGTTGCGCCACTTAGGGGTGGACTTTCTGTTCTGCGGAGGGTGGCCGTCGAGCGGATGCCACGCACAGCGGGCGTCAACGCAAGGGGACCGACGAAGAGGGGAAATAGAGGCAGGAGGGAGACAGGAAGTGGAGATCTCCAGCCCCAAATATAGAGAGAGAGAAAGAGGGGGTGGAAAGTGCGCGAAGGGTGTTTTGCTGGTAATTGGTGCCAATTTAATCCTGCCCTTCGCTCGACGTGGCCTGTATTAACGGTAAGGGAGGCACGGCGGAGCCTCGACGAGGGTGGAGGGTTCGTGAATTCACCCTTCCCACGCGAAAACACGCGCGCACGCACACAAACGCGCGCGTCACGGCCACGTGCTCGCCTCTCCTCCGCCGGGAGGAGGCGAGGGATGAGCGGCGCAAACACCGGGGATGCGTGGTGGTGAGAGGCCGCTAGGAAAATATAATTAACGGTAATCGGTCGCGTATATGGCTCGGATTAACTTTGGAGGGGCGGCCGGGCAGAACCCCTCCGTTTCTTCGGGGTTAGTCGATCGAACGAGTTTTCCTACGGGATTACGGGGGGTCGGCCCGCCTTTGTTCCGTGCGACCGCGAACCGCTTCCGGAAAATTGCACCGGATGGACGATAGGAG